GATTGAAATGGGTGCACTTAAAGTTGACGTTACATAAAAAACAAATACATAAACCACTTAGAATGAGGTATTGAAGTTGGATGATGTGAAATAATGTGCGAAAAAAGACCCTTATAGCTTTCAAAGCCATGTGTTTGTATTACATTATGGTACTTCCAGACTCGCAAAAAGTCAAGTACAATATTTTCACGTTGGTAAATAAATTTTGTTGAGAGAACAAAATCATTTAAAGAGGAAAGTGGAAAGTGAAATAACAAAATAGACTTACAACTTAGACTTACCCACAAATTTTAACCACAAAACTAATAACTATTTCTCCCAAGCCAATGTCTCCAAATGTCTTTGGACGTACTCAAAAAATCAGTCAATCAATCGGATCCATCCCGAATCGTTGGCCCGAAATAGCTCTAAATTATTAATCACTTAACACTCTTCATCTTCGAGGGACAACAATGCGGTTGATGATTAGACGGCTTCCAGTCAATTTATAAGGCCAGACAAAGCGGAGATCCCTCGGTCAGAGCAGAATGGCAAAAGGAAACTGAGGCAAGCCGGTGAATACATCTTGGTCAGCAGACAAAAAGCTTTCATTAATTCAATATGCTTACGGGGGAGGTCAACTATCATTAACTAGCGCTGCAGACAAGCATCGTTCTAATGATGAAGACGATGATAACCGATTGGGAGTGGGTGTGCGGGTGTGTGTAAGTGTGTAAGTGTGTAAGTGTGCCAGTGTGTATGTGGAAAGGAATTAGTTTGCATTAAGTATACACAGCAGACGCTGAGCAGGATTTAAGAAGTGAATGTGAGGCAGGACTTATGACTCTCGCTCATTTGGCTGCCGTCGCAGAGTGGCAGAAGCCCTCGGGGAGATTAAGTTCCAGCCCCCCGCCTCCCGAGAGACTGTGTGTGTGTGAAGCATGGAATATTAATTCCTTAAGTAATTCACAACATTTGCAACTAATGTTTGTTAATGAGCTACGCCACATCTCCCCGCATCCTGGCATCCTTAGCCTCCGGTTTCGGCAGTGCCTGAGGTCAAGGCGAGTGCTGCGGGATGTCTGCAGCTTTCCGACTTGTTAAATGCTGGAATTACCAAAGTGGAAAAGTGAAAAGGCCTCTCAATAAGCCCAGCACTCCTCAGGGTGACTGGATGCCCATGACAGCCTCGGTCTCAAAGCCGCACACAAAACACTTAATGAAATAATTATGTAAAGCAAACAACCTGTCGTTATATGCCCACCTTGGCCATCACTTTTGCCGCAGAGACTTGCCTTTGACTTTCATTAATTTGATGATATCCAATCTTAATTATTATGCATTTAATTAGATGGCTTTTGAAGGCGAAAAGCTCTGCACAAAACGTAGTTGGTACTTTAAAGAACATTTTGAAGTGTCTAGAGGCTGGAGTTTTGACTCTACCATTGAGTTAAACGGTTAATCCATGGTCCACATGGGCTCCTTAGCGGGTGGATTGAATCCAGAAGGGATTACTAGCATTGCAACTATGTCACAGCACCTAAACTAGTTTATCGCATGCTAATCAGACCGCTCCTCCATTTGGTATGCAACAAATAGAGGGGAGAACCCAACGCACCAGCAGGTGGGGGCTTGTAAAATAATTTGAAAACACGGCATTAGCGTAATGAAGCATGGAAAAGTGGGAGTGAAAGTAGGTGAAACTGTTGGCAAGCAGGTGAAAAGCGCACATAAATGCCAGAAGTTATGCAAGTCCTTAACTTTCATGAGTATGCCACGCTGACAGACGAGCGTTTTGGGGGTTGGGCGTTGGATGTTGATGAAGGGGGTGGCTGTGGGGTGGGCAAGGTGCCGCCGAAGAAAAACTGTTGTTGCAAATGCAGATTGCACTGGCTGTTGGCTGGGTGCAAGTGCCGTATCACACATGTTTGTCATGTGAATGGCGCTGCCTCAAAGTGTCTGTCTGGATTCAGGTTGAGTGCGAGTTCTCTCACAGAACTTTGCTCCGCACACATACTTACACAGAAACAAATAATACTTCCCTTTGCACTAAATATTTAAGATAGTTTGTATACCCTTCCAGCTATATCAAAATTCTATTATTTTATATATATGTTTTTATGCTTACATGTTTAAAAACGATGAAAAAAAGTCAATAATCAGATTACTTTTTAATTTATTCTCAAGCCATATGCTAATATATATAAGCGAACAAAAAATATAATATGTTTAAAAACAACTAATAATTAATAGTTGAACCGTTTCAATTTAAACTACGTAAAAAAGGAAGAAACGTTTTCTTACATTTGATTCAGATAACTTCAACTCTTACTGAGAGATTTTCTGATAAGTCTATTGACTATATCGACTACATATACTTCACTGCGCTGCAAACTTCTGATTGAATATATAATAATCATAACAAAATACCTTCCAAAATTAAAAAAAAGACAATTTGTTTACTTTGAAACATTTAAGGAGCTGTTTTGACTTTAGACTATACTGATTAGTTATGCAACGATCATTTATTTCAGTGCACTCATATCCTGCCGGAAAGCCTCGTATTCTTATTCAGTGCGTAATCTTCACCTTTTTCACAGTTTTTCCATGCACTTTTATTGCATCCTTTCAGGGCGGGTCCTCGCAGACGGAGCCGCAGGAGCCACAGGAGCTTGTATCGACAAAAGTTGCACCTTGAATTTGCCACTTTATGCCGCGAGTTCCCCGCACTTTGCCGCCAGTTAAGTAGTTGTAAGCTGCATAATGTATTTACGCAAGCACCGGAAATTGGGTGCCACGAGCTGGGTGGCACGGCAGCCATAAAGCCTTGTGGCAGCCATCGTGCTAAACGCGCATAGACAAGTGTGATCCCCTGCGGATGCCGACAGGGACGTGGGATGCGGATGTGGATGTGGATGTGGATGTGGATGTGGATGCGGGCACTCTTTGGTTTCTGCTGGCATATTTTATGGCGCTCTGAATCCAGCTAAATTGCAACAACTCGCTGCTGCGGACCGGATTTGATTAATATGCAACGAGAACGTAGTTCAGCATGTGGCGCTTTAGACTGCCACTCGTATGGCTGAGATTTTAAACTTTTTCGGTCCCAAAAAATGGGTTATAGAAAATTAAGATAAGTAAAAATTAAAAACCTTTCCCTTTAAAATCCCAATTTATAAAAGAATTAAAGCCTTAAAATTCACAGTTTAATTTACCAATTTCCGTTTTTGTAAAACTTCTGTATTAATAAAAACCGAAATGTATTTCTGCTATCCACTGTATATGCAGATGCCGGCAATTTTGGCATTTCTTTGAATGAGAATTGTATGTTAATTTTTTTGTGTAATTGGCCAACATTTAGTTTTTAAAACTGACTCGACACGGCAGATAGGCAAAAAATAGAATGGAAACATAGAATTCTTGCAAAGAGAAAGCAGAAGGATAGGTGGGCTTTGACATTCAGGGAGTTCAGGGCCCAAAACCAGACGCAAACTGGTCCATTTCCTTGCCCTCATTGTCATAATCATCAGCAGTGTAGTCCTCATAGGCAGCCTTGCCAACCGCTACCAGGCAAATTTTGTGCGGCAATATGCAAATTAACTTAAATGTCAACGTTGGTAAAATTTTAAAAACGACAAACGCAGAATTCCATCCGAAAAAGGGTGGCAAAAAGCAGCAATGGAAATTCGTTGGAATTGTGCACCAAATACAGGGACGGGCCAGGAGAGATGGTGACAAACTGCAAACGTCAACCAATTTTTTCCTCTCTACTTTCGTATGTACAGAAGCTGGGAGTGAGTGAAACTCGGTGACAATGATGTTAACTAGAGTGTGAAAACTATGATTGGCTGACAACGAAGGGACAGGGAAGGGGAAAGGGAAAGGGGATAGGAATGGCTCCATATACAGCCTGATTTATGCCATATTCTTGCTCATCTCACCGCGCAGGGGTCGTCACCTGAATCACTCCACTTTTCTCGGCTTGTCAACCACTTTGCGTACGCTTGTTGAAACAAATGCCACAAACGATTTTCATTTTCATTTTGATTTTCTCTCTGCTTACACTTTTCATTTTCCTTTAAGGACCGTCCACCCAGTAAACTCTCATGTTGTGCACTAAATGGCGCCGAAGACCTTTCAAGATGATAATAATTTTTCAAGCTGGCACAATCTAGGTCAGCTAATGGACAATTTTTGTCCTTCATTTGGTAGAAAATGTGGCGCTTCTATCCGCAACTAATTTAAAAAAGAAGAAGATAACTAGCTTGACTAGTTTTTATAATTTTATTTAAGCAAGTAATCATTCATTCCACTATAGAGGAATAAAATGAATTAAAATTAAATATGTAAAGGCATGCTTTAAAACTCACAAAAGGGCATGGTCTGCTGAATTTAATAAGTAATAATCTGAATCCCGACATATAGCTCCCTCTCGGTTGGTTTATGCATGGACACGCCTTCTTCCTGCCCAATAACCACAGAAAATTACTGTGGATTTTATTTCAACAAAAGTTTCCTGCTGGGCCATGTTGGTGGAAATATTTTGACATCCAGTTGGTTTGCCAAGCTTCCCGGTTTTGCATCAGCTTAATACGTTGTTAGTGAGAATAAATTGTGTCTCCTCTTTTATTTTTTGTCCCCCGTTTTTTTCTAGACGCTTCACGGTTGTGTGTGGTTGGTGACAAAGTCATGAATGAATATTTAATAACCATTTCTGCAGTTCGGAGGCGACGTTTGTAATTCTGTGTAAAGTGACTGGAACCTAGAATGATGATAGAATGCATTTTTAGAAAAGGATTTCCTGTATTCTAGCTTGACAAGAATTTAAATAGAAAATTATTTGTTTGGTTGTCCAATGGTTATCAAGTGTGTAAAGTAATACAAATTGATTTCAAAAAATAATCGATTTGAATCCATTGAAGAAATTGTATTTTATTTATTTGTATTTCACTTATTCGTTATGGCTTAAGAATTATTGCAAACACTTCATATCATTTCAATTGATTTTTCATTTCATTTAAATTTTTATTTGCATTTCCATAAAATTTGATGTTGCAAATCAAGTATACGCAACGTTGGAGCAACTCCTTACGGTTCTGTTTATTTAGTTGATTAAGTTTTGGTTTTTCTTTGCTTGGCTGCGTCTAAAATTTTAGTAAGTCTTTTATATACTAACTAATGTTTACATTTAGTTTTTGGCTTGCTTTGGTTATTTATTTGAATGGAACGCAGTAACACCCGCTTATTTACACTGTTATTCAATATTCATTTATCATTATTCTTTATGCATATAAATGGATTTTAGGTCTTAAGAAATCAGGAGTATTCATACATATACCTGAAGTTATACATACATATTTACAATTTATAGCTCAAGGAAACCAAAGAAATTTTAAGATAATTTATTTCTCGTTAAGTCGTCATTGCGCTAATGAGTCGAACTATTAGATTTAATTCCATAAAACTTCCTTCAAAAGCAGATGCCTGTGCATTTTTTTGTGATTTCTATTTGAAATCTCAATCCTTCCAAATTCTTTGTGAATTATTAACTTATATATGATACAACCATGGCAGATTCCAATTGATAAACAGAAGGAAAATGTTCTTATCTTTTAAAGGCGAGTTCTGTGCATTCTATTTACACAATTCTTGCAACGTTTTAATCAAAATATACGATATGCCGGAACATAAGCTTGACTTCTAATATTAATTTACACTCAGATGGAGAAGAAACATAAATCGAGTATGTTTATTAAAATATTTAATGGATGTAGTCCTGTATATATTGCCTTCATGATGGGTGTCCTCCTTCCTCTGTGATAATATGTTTTTAAATCGAGTAAAATCTTATTTTGTAGCCCCATTTATAGCGTAAAATCCAAGGAACCAGGCGAGAGCCTGAGGGCAACTCAAGTTTTGTCCTCTGACACTTTGGTGGCACTAATTGAGCTGCTGTCTCTGATGAAGCCGACCCCTGATTTGGGTCCTGCACCGCCTGCTCCTCCTGCTGCTCCTCCTCCTGCAGGTCCTGCGCCCGATGTCCTTGCGGTGGCTCTGCTGGCATTCGGCTGGCAGATGTCCCTGGCCAGTGCAAATTTAATAATCCACAAAAGCGTCAGAAGCGTTGAAACATTCCGCCAGTGCAAATAGCCGTGACATCCAATTAGCGCACTCCAGCTGACACTGCCCGACTTAATGGCCGAGGCGGAATATTCACCTGCCGATCAGAACGGAGTGGAACAAGTTATTTGAGAGCACAGAATGTTGCGGTTTTTTGGCGCCGTCACTAATCCCGCCATTGGGGCAAAAAATATTCAATAATGACTCTGCAATCCGCCCAATTTCCCAAACTCAAAACCCACCCAATCCGCAGCTATCACAATCAATTTTGACTAAAAATGAAATCCACCCAGACCCGACTCCACTTCGGCTCAACTCGTCCACGTTCGATTGGATAAATAAAGTGGTCATTGTAATTAAATATTTCTATTCAAAAATTGAACACCAAACATGAGTGGGTGTCCGTGCGAATGCATGCGGTTTATGTACGCTCGTGTGGGCGAATCGCGAATTTTATGTATGGCTAATACAGCTGATGGATTTTTGCGGCATCCGCGTGAAATGCGCACACAGCAAATATTGAAACTGCATTAAACTGAAAACACCTGATCCCACAGGCACCTAATTAGAGCCAAATTTTCATTGTCAGGAAAAGCAAAATTAAATAATGACTTAAAGGCTAAACTTCAAATTATAGTTACACATAAATTTCATTAGGCTTCATAAAAAGTTAAGTCAACCTAAGCCCATGAAGATTATTAAATTTCTCTTTCGACTCCTTCGAAGTTCTCATGTCAGTATGGAGTCTGCAAGCTAACCACAATTAAGCCAAACTAATTATGAGTTTCGCAGCACTGGCTTTTCCTTTTCCCTCCCGGTATCAATTACCATAACCACTGCATTTTCCCGACGGCAACGGTAACAAAATCATGCGAGTCATCAGAAAACGAGCCTAAAACGAGCTGTGGTCTGCGGAATCATTTATGCAATGTGGGGGCAGCTTGTCGAATATATCTATGAAATTACTTATTTAAAATAATTAAACTTGAATAAATTTAAAAGCCAACCGCACGCTGACATTGCCACTTCACAAAGCGCAGGGCCGAGTGCGAATGAATAAGCAAATTAATTATGCCACCGAGGGGGCAGGGCTAGGGCCAGGCTAGCTGATTTAATAAATCACAGAGAAGAGCGCAATTAAAATAAAAATCCCTGAATAAATAAATGATAATATCATTAAGTTATTAATAATCATTTGTCATGACACAACGCTGCGCCAACAGCATCGAAAATTGTTATATGCCACAACAATTGTGCCGCAGAAATGGCATTAAGTTTATTAACCTTTTCGCACTTGCACACGATTCGTGGAAAATGTTATTAAAATTATGTAAAAAGCGCAAAGTAGGGACGAAGTGGGCCTCTCTTTCGCCTGAAATTTCATTATTGTCTGGCACTCAGCCAGGCACACACGCGGCCACGCCCACGCATACGCCCACGCCCACATATATCTCTGGAGCATTGCTTTTTATTATCCTCGGCTTTAACATGCTCTCACTCATTTTCCCAGCTTAACAGCAACAAAAAACTCGTGGCAAGTGCCCTGTAAGCCTTTCTTTTATCTGCGTCAATTAGTCGAATATTAAAAATACATTAATTCCTTGTTATAAATGATGTTTGCTCTGGCCCCACATTGCAGCCATTTCACAGCAAATTAAATTGTGAATTTAATTTTAAAATCCCGGCACAAATTCTTTGACAATTGTTTGCCCTTTCTGACCTAGACACAAGCACCACTCGACGGCACCACGGCTTCCAGCCCGTAAAGTTGCCCGCAGACAGGTCGGCATTTTTATGGCCATTATTTGTAGCCCGACAATCGTCACTCCGTCCCCGGCCTGCGACAAACTTGTACCTGTCTGCCCCAAAATCCTGCTGCGAGTCCTTGTCCCCCGTCAGGTGTCATCAGTCACAATCGCTCGGCATTTGTTTTGCCGGATCTCGGGCGAGTGTGAGTTAACACTCGGCACTGTCGAACCGTATTGTCAGCTGCTGGAGTGCCTTTAAGTAGCGTGCTCCAAACGGAAAACGACAGGCTACAAATAGCAGTCAAACACAAACACAGGCCCCGACGAGCACATGTCGGAGTTGACAGCCGGGAACAGGAACTGGATCGGCAATAGGAACGACAACATTGCCTGCGGGAGTGATGGACAAACGATTTAAATGCAATCCGAAATTTGTGGCACCCAGCACACACGGGAAAAATACACAAATTTTCAACTGATTGCATCATTCCACAACTAAAAATAGGTTTCAAAGAGAATTGCGAAAGTTATGGTGTTTATATTATTAGTGGAAATTAACTTTTTGTTCGGAAACGAAATTAAATGTTGTTATTAAAAGGTAATTAAAACGCATTGGAGTGATGTGAACATTTTTGGAAAAAAGTTTACTGCGCATGGTAATACCTAATACTTTGTTATTGCTCATAAAATAAATCTGACCAGATGACCAATATTTCAATTAAGAGCCACGGAAAATGTTTATATGGTATAGTTTTTTTCTAGGTGTAAGCCAACTGAGAGGCAAACAGAGCAGGGTGAGATGGAAAACTGGACAGATAGATAACCATTACGTAGCGACATTTATAGGTCAGTCATCGTAGTCTCCAGCATCTCTGTCATTGTTGTAGGCGTCCTTGGTCCTCGGACTCAACAGTGTCCATGTTGCCCGGCGGACATTGAGCAAATAACGCAATTGTGGCCATTTCGAGATAACAATAAAACTGCAACTGTTCCTTTGGTCGTCTCGACTCTTTTGGTTTGGTTTTTGGTTTCATTTCGTTTCGTTTCGCTGCCATTGTGTTTGCCATCGTTGAAAATTGTGTAAACAAAATGAAAACCTCTCAAATGGCTAGAACAGTGGTTGCTGGGGATTAAAAAGCGGAAACAAACAAATTTGTTAAATTTTCTGAGTTTCGGCCGCTTTTGTTGTCAAACTTTCGGTTTCTGGTAAGTTGAATTTACAATCATAATTGGTGAAACTGATTTCGGAGTTGCTGGCCTCACTGTGCGGTTATTTCGCGAAAATCAAAAGTCGAACCAAACACAAACGCATCCGAATAAAATTCAATTAAGCTAAATGAAAACTTAATTCAATTGCCCTGCCGTACAGACAGACAAACAGTTAAAGCCGCCCCGCCAACGACCTCACCGCCACCACCCACTCAGCCACCCGCCCGTTTACACCCCCTCCCCCTCACCGTTCAGCACGTGGAGCACGATGGTGCGGGGCGCACTGTTCGAGGGGCTGCACGTGTAGTTGCCGGAATCCAGTTTGACTACGGCCGGAATGATGAGAGAAGCCGTCTGCAATGATAAAATAAGAGCACACTCAGACAGAAGCACGCATATATGGGTACAGGTACAGTCAGGCCTCGATAATTCTAGCCACATATATTATAAACTATTTAGTCTTTATAAAAGGATTTATTTATCATTCAGTCGATCATTTAATACAGTCGACTGAAATCATTTTGCCGTGTTTTAAATCTTGATTCGTCTTCGAAGACAAACAAAAAATTGAATAATTTTTTTATTAAAGTAAAGATTAAAAAACGTTAATAAATTGTGAATATTTGAAATCATCGCGTCATGTTTAAAACCATTAAAGCGATTTGGTCTAAAAAAACCTTACTTCAGTTTTAAGAGGCAACCAAATTATTTTTAAATTGATTTTAGTGGGGGTTATACATGTTTAACTGTATTTCTATAGGGAAATATTATCGCCCTGCCGAGACTGACGACAGACGAGATCGAGTGTGGCAGGCGTGAACTGCTGGGGCCATAATAAAAATTATAATTTGACAAACGTTGACAATAAGAATTTAATATAAATTATTTTACCTGCCTCACTTTCGCGCCAATTTGCGTAATGAAAAGGCATTTAATGGGGGCGTTTTGCAGGGAGAAAATTGGGAGACGTAGAGGGGCGGAATGCGGTAAGCCACTTACTGTTATCTGCTTAATGAAACTGCTGCTTGGCAGCATGGTTGTTGTCGTTGTGGCGGCAGTTGTTGCTGCCGCCTCCGATGTTGTCAGCCAGGTGGTTGTTGCCGTGGAGTCACCTGTCGCAACAGTTGCTGCTGCAGTTGTTGCTGCTGCTGCGGCTGCCGAGGATGCTGCAGTGGCCGAGGAGTGGAGCTGTGTGCCTGCTCCTGCCGTCGTCCCAGAAGTCGAAGATGTGGCATCCACCTCGGCGACCAGCTGAGCTGTTGATGTCTCAGTGACAAAAGCCACTCCTGCCCCTGCCACATCATTCTGGGCGATGGCATCTAAGATATATGAACGTGTTATGGTTACTAAACCATTAAGCGACTCCGAGGATGTTGGTCCTGTCGTTGATCCTGCGGCTGTTGTCGATGGTGTTGCTGCCGTGGTGGTGGTGGTGGTGGTGGTTGTCGTAGTGGTGGTTGTCGTGGTCGGCACTTCCGCTGGCAGATCGATGCGTTCAATTTCCGTACGCCAACCGCGACGATTATGCAAATAGATTTGCTTCTGATTGTAAAACCAATTAATGAAAAGCGGCGGCTCCAGAGCCTGGCTAATTATGCAACGCAATTTCACTTGACTTCCGGCTTTCACATGTCGCGTTGACTCGCCAATTAATTCGGTTTTCGGCTCTGCAAAGAGGAGGGAGAAAGTGAATTGGATGTAGTCAGTGCAGGTTCTCACACACATTTCCCGAGTTTGCCTTCGAAAGTGCAACGGTCATTGATTTATTGTCTCTGCCATTGCAGATTTATAGGTGTGGTCAGGGATTTGAGTTTGAGTTTGGGTTTTGATTTTGGCATCGGTTTCGGCGGCTGAAGGCCAATGGGTCAGTGGATTGTTTGAGCAGTGAATTAGAGAGTCTGGGAATGGATTAGCCTAGAATATGCATTACTCTTGCTTTTCAATTTGTGCAGGGGCTATATAACTTAAAAGAAAGAACGTTTTTGCTGCTCACATACATACTCTTTGTTAAATTTCAATGTGGAATAAATTTATATTAAATATGACAATTTTTATTTTAAATATTCGGCGTTGCTTAAGAATATCTAAATTTGTCAAAAGACCATAAACAAAAAAACTATTTTTGTGGGCTACAAAGACTTCGGTCTATGCGACCTGAATGAATATAAACTACTTTATCTGTACCTTTAAGTAATTAACATAAAATAACCAAGCCCAGTTCCAAAAATGCATAGTATAGGTAGGTGCTCCTTCTTGCTCCTTCTCCGTCAAATTAAACATAAGTAAGTTCAAATATAGTTCAACAGGGAAACCACTTCATTAGACTTATTCAACCACTCCTTATGTGCCCCAATAGGTAGGCTGCAAAAGTCCAGCTTAGCATCCATACTCACCCACAATCCTTAGATGGACAATGGCACTGGCCTTGGGCTCCGTGGACACCTGGCACTCGTAGGTGCCCTCGTCCTTGAGCTGCACGTACTTGATCTGGAGCGACCAACGTTCGGGATTCGGGGAGAAGACTGACTGGAAGCGCTGATCCGCGATGAAGGTGGTCTGGTCCACAGTGAGGATATGGCCGTCCCTCATCCGCAGCCAGGATATCGGCTTTTTCACCAGCTGCTTGACCTGCCCAAATGAGACAGCAAGTTTACTTTCAATTATCGGGAATTCATACCAATTGGGGGCTTCAATTTTTAAAATTAATTCAATTATCCCCGCACAAAAAGCAATTCAAACAGTAAATCCCAGCTCTCCGACCCTGGAGATTGGTCAGTGTGATGATGATGATGTCAGCAGAACTTTGCCTTGTTTGCGTTGCCCTACCTCAATTGTATATACTTTGGTAAACTTTACGGGGGGAATTCGGTGAAAGGGGGTCGGGATCCCTGGCAGGGCGGTAAACAATCACGATAACAAAACGACGATTCATTTCTGTCAATAATGGCAATAATAATTTAGTGGCAATTTGCCCAGGCAGCCTCAGAGCAGCAAAAACAAAATAATACACATTAAATTGCCAGTCATCGATACGGAAGTGCCCTGAAATCCTCCACCCACCATCAGGTATATATCTCAATATTTAAATATGGATTCACAACAACTGGCATGCCTTCCTCTAATTACAGTGGCCTAGAACAAATAGCCAACCAGTTGAGCGGGGCAAACTTAACTCTCAGTTCAACCATAGTCCTCGAAGACAACTCCCCCGTTCTCTCAGTGTTTTATTATTGGAGGGGAACTATTGTGGTAACTGGCCGAACGAAGGCGTCGTGACAGAGGCAAATGACTGCCTTTGAACCACTGTCATCAACTACATTGTCGGTGTCAGGGCCCAGACAACGAGGAACTCAAAGGACCAAGGCGACGACGACAACGTCATGATTAGATACTATAATCATTTGCGTTTTATGTGCTTGTTGTTGCCGCCATTGTTGTTGTGAACGTCGCCAAGGAAGTGGAGGCGACGAAGCCCCACGGACACCCAGTCGAGCTGTTATTGTCGGTTGAGCACGTGCTGTCAGAAAGCATCTCCTTTAAATGAATATGATCATCTCCGCTGCGTCGACAAATCAACTCAATGGAGTGGAGTGCTTGGACACCTGCAGGGGGAGAACGCAATCATTACGAAAATCCCATATTTTGTCTTTTAAAATGATTTGATTCCTTGGAAATTTATTCAACATTGGCGACTATTTAAACTGTCTTAAGTTTGATTCAAAGCATTCCGTTAACGAGCCATGTTCGAACCTTTTGAGTTTCTCATAATGGTTCGCATTAGGCTATGTACTTAAACATATACCTGTTCTTAAGTCTCTAGTGTCTTTAAACCTTAATTTTTTGTTTAAGCAAATGGTGTTTCTTGTCTTCGAAGTAAAACTTTGCTATTTTCTTTCCCCTGTTTGTAGTTATATTAAAAACTCTCTAAGATAATAATAATAATTTTTATAGCTACAAGGGCTCTTACAATTTTGCCTTAATATTTCGCATACCTTTTTAAGAGCTGATTGACGGGTATTGTATGCTCTCCTTCTGGCTTAAAATCGGAAGTAAGCTTTTAATCTATCTAGCTGCCTTTATTGAATACCATAATTTAACGCATTACCTATAGATGCGTGACACATTCATTGGCAGGCCCGTTTAATTAATAACTTCCCAGTGGATACATGAGAATGCAGAATTTAAGTATAAAATGATTTGCCCAGATAACTGAAAAAATCGAAAAAGTCTTCGATGGAAGCCACTGTGCGGTGTGGGAGTTTATTAAATTGCGCCACGGTCTCCGCCAGGAGTGTCCTGGCTCTAAGGACATTATTATCGGGCTGAGCATCGACATTATACTCGGTATTAAGTGAAGATGCTTATCCAGTGAGGCCGATGAGCTTGGGCAGGCAGCCAAGTCAGGACTTCGAGTACGTGGCAAGTGAAAGTAGGTCTCCTGCCGCTTCGGCTCCTTTGTCCTTGCGGCTGACAAATATCCCTGTGTGGCCTGACTTCGGTTCGAACAGGTTCCTGCCTGGCAATAGCTAATTTAAATTTTCCCTGCCTGTGTAGGTTGCGTTTAATTCCGCCGTAAAGTGATGGCCCGTCCGCACTTATCACGATGCCCGAGTGTTTGCCGCTTAAATATTGTTAATTAGTTTTAGCCGCAGTTCAAACTCCCCGAAAACTGTGTCACATCGCCTCCTCGAAGCGGGTTATCCGGGTCCAAAGTCTGGCAAGTGCCATATCCTCATCCACTTCCTCTTCGCGATGGGTTTTATGTTCCCCCGACTGTCGTCATTACCCACTACAGATTGAGAATCCGCGTGAGCATCGTTTTCCATCACAGTCGAGCAGACAACAAAGTTTGCTCATAACATTGCGAATTTTCGTCTAAACTTGTTTGCAAATAATTTCTTTTATTTTGTTGATTCTTCTCTGTCTTCTGTGCCGCGTCTTCCTCTTTCTTTTCACACAACAATACACCTCAAAGTGCCTGCTTTCATATCTTCACCAAAATAACACAGCGCAACAAAAAAATACAAAAATGAGGGAAAACTTTTCGCTTAGTTGCCGAAAAAAAGCAAGAAAGGAATGACAGCGAAAATGGAGGGGAGAGTCTGTCGATTCTGGGTAAAAAATATTCAAGTGCTTGCAGGCAAAGCATTTTTGTGGCTTTCCCCCTGCACAAATTTCGGATCCCTTTCAAGCTCCTTGTAACCCCCCAATTCGTTATCCTTCAGCTGCTTTCTTTGTGACGCCCAAGGTCTCAAAATGTATTATTAATTGATTAGGTTTAAGCAGATTTGAAGATTATTCCGGGCATATAAATATACAAGATGCGCTGTGCCAACAGCCAAAAGCGAATATGGGATATCGGAGATTGTGTATATGTACTGAAATTATCTGATAAATATTTTATAGTAGATTGTTTTTCCAATTTGAGCAGGGAAGGTTGACGATTGAGGAAACATTTAGCCGGCAGGGAGGTTGCATATTTATGAAAGCTGAAATCGAATCGCATTACTATTAAACTTAAAATTTTTCTAAAATATAAAATTATATTTTGCCTTTTTTGTTAATAGGTATAAACAGAAACTTAACATTTTTGTTTATTTAGGCCTCTGAATATGTTAAAAGAAATTCGATTTAAAAAAATCCCTTTTCCTGATGTATTATTCTTGGAATGTAATGGCCAAAGCTAATGAATACTTTAAACTCATGCCCTCTGTAAGGCATTTACTTTTAGTAAATTTGAACTGATTTGAATAAATAAAAAATGTTTTTAATTTAATTTACTAAAAGAAATGCAAGGAATGATACCAGCAAATTAGAAAAATAATTAATTAAATGTAGCTGTTCAAAGGTAAGTAAATATAACCCTTCACGCCCACGCCTGCTGCTCAGCTGCATCTTTTAATTAACTCGACACCACATCCTTCCGCCGCTTTTCCTTTCAGTTCAGATCCTTTGAATAGGCATCTCAAGGGAGTATGTTCGCTTCTGCGTTTGTGCATCTGCAGCCGTCAGTTGGGCGGAATATTTATTCCTGCAACTTTAAGTTCTGCTGCACGGTTCAGCAGTAATTTCCTGTCCAAACAGTAACCAGTAAATAGTAACTCTGGCAGTGGCAGCGATAGAATCCAGCAGCGCCAATTATAATTTGCAATGCGAAACGCGGATACGCGGATGTGCGGATGTGCGGATGCACCACGCGGATGCTGCAGGCACAGCGCCAAGGAGCGATGGGTAACTAAGTTATTAGCGGATGCCGGGACACTCGACCTCTCTCACTCCCCTCTATTTGTGCGTACATAAATATATACTTATGTACTAAGCGGATGTGTAAACGTATATAGTGTCAAATATATAGGTCATCGTTTTTCAGCAGCTCCAAACAAAAATGTGTCTCCTTCAGCTCCTTCTGCATCCTACTCTTTGTAAGGGTATATTTCTGATCAACTTCATCATGCGAATCTATGAAGAGGTTTCCTGCTATCTGTTAAATACATTTCTGCGAAACCTAACGATAAAAATCTGAATAAAAAGGTTACTAAAATATATCCCTAAAGAGGATATAAGCTTCAGAACGCAAAAAAAGGTATCTTGTCATATGTGGCGATTTTCTTTGAAAAAATCCTTTTGAGGAAGTTTTGTAGAATACTAAAAAAAATATTTCTTCTATTTAATGTCCCAATCTTTAAGAACCATCTATAATATAATAATAATAATATTCCAAATTAATTTCGCGCTGAACTTATTAAAATCTATCTTTCTTTATTTATGTAAACTATAACGATTATTTTGAACATCCCCAATTTGTAGCCTAATACTTATAGTTTTCCAAATTTTAAAACTGTACGCAAGTGTATTCATCTGCTTATGTATGCCCTTTGGCTAGGGCGCGGCATCGACATCAGCATTGGCAATTTCCGGTTTTGTTTTCGCTCAGTTCCGACAGCGGCCAGCGTAAATTAGTTCAAAGCTCTAAAATGGCGAAAAAAGGAGAGCGGAAGTCGGGCCAATCGATGCCACATCCCCCGGGTTCCATTTCCTCCGCCGCCCGTCAGCCCCTTTGTTGGAGAACTGATTCAACCAAGTAGGCACTCAGTATCTGCTTATTATAAATTATCAATGATTAATAAAATGCTTTTGTAAATATTTGCACTGCCAACAATTTGCCGTAGAACTTCTCTCTGATGGATTGCTCGGTAAACAAAGGAGCATGAAAGAGTTTGCTTGAATTGGCTGATTGAATTTCCAGGAAATTTTCATGCCATTTCTACCTCGAATTCCCCCCAATTGTGCCTTCCAGAGTTTTGTGTGTTCATGAGTTGGCTTGGCAGCATTCCCATTTCTCCATTCTGGTTTCAACAGTGGAACATGATCAGGTCCTCTGCCTAATTAAAGGGACCGCCGACAACAGGCACACACGAAAAAAGGTGAATGACTATATTTTTTAGTCGATAACAATGCTGTTCCTAGTATCCTATACTATTAAATTGCATACTTGAGTTACACAAAATGTTAACACAAGCAAAAAGTTTTGAATTTAAGACTTCCCAAGCTAGAACTAAAATCAGATAATGTAAATGTAATATCAATTGTACGACAGGTATACAAAAGTAAATGAAGATAGACTAGAAACAATAACCACTGCGGCTATTTATCAGTCATCATTCATTAAATCAAGCAACATTAAGTATTAAATTGCATACTTGAGTTACACAAAATGTTAATACAAGCATAAAGTTTTGAATTTAGCTGGAACTAAAATCAGATAATTTAAATATAATATCAATTGTATGACAGGTATACAAATGAAGAAACAATAACCACTGCGGCTATTTATCAGTCATCATTCATTGAACCAAGAAACAATTCCCTGCTTTCTTTTTGGAGATACGGGCTTAATCAATACCAGCTTTCTGGACTTAGTCATTTGAAAATAAATAATATCTCTGGGTGTATTTAACAACATGTGCCTGCAGAAACATTTTTACTTGTAAATACTTTGTTCGTTTAAGCTGAGTTACTGGATTGATCCAATTAAATTCACATTTTTGTCTTTGATAAGGGGGAATGAAATGTATTCAGAGTAGGGAGCTATTTTCCGCTCGGTGTAGCTGCTCAACTTACATTGCACGGCAGATAGGCATGGGTGCCGGCCTGGCTAATTATTGTCTGGTAATCATCTATTGTTGGCGGTGGCTTCAGCGTTGTTGTTGCCACCGGTCGACGGGTTGTTCGCCTCGTTGTTGTTGTTGGCGTCGTTGTGGCAGGCTCTGTGGTTGTTGCTGTTGCTGGTGCGGTGGCGGTGGCGGTGGCATCGACAGAAGTTGCATTCAACGCAGTCGAAGCTGCCGCTCCTGCAGATGTGGCGTTGTCCTGCGTGATTCTGTAGCTGTGCTGCTCCTGGATATTCCGATTGCTCATAATCAGATTCGCCTCGAGGGCAGCGGTCAGCCGCTGATCGCCATTGTTGCTAATGTTATTAATGGCGACATTGTTGGGGGAGCGATTCGAGGACGAGGCTGCATCCAAAGCTGCAGCCATTGTTGGCCCAAATGCGCCGGCTTTGTCCGCCGCCTGGGCCATTTGCGTTGTCGCCGGAATTAATGCCTCGCGCCTTGATTGAGTCCTTTGAAATGCTCGCCCATTTGTTCCGTTGCTGTTTAATATTGATGTCTCCTCCGACTGCCCTCTGATGGCTGGATAATGGGAGAAAAAAAGGAAAATGAATAGGTTGTGAGTGGAAATTAATGACTAAGTGTTTTGTTTTCTGTCCGCTGTCCCCCCCAGCGGCTTAGATATATATTTCAAATGCCATGATCCCCATTTATCTGGAATACTCGTTACGACAATTAAAACGATTTACGGCCCCGACAGTTTTGTTCAATAAATTAATCTTCATTTTTCGGCTGCCCACCTAAGCCCAAAATGGGCAAAGTTAGAGTTGAGTTTCGGAGCAAGAGAAATTAATTAGCTAATTACGAACTTGAATTGATTTGCATGTACTTGGAGTGGAGTGGCGCTTTCAATGACAGGAAAGTTTTAAGAAGTATTTGGCCTACTAAGAGCTGATAATTGCTTTTACACTGCTGTTTGGAAGCCTTGGCAACTCATAAGGCGATAACTGTTGAAAGTGGAGAAATCTGGGCCACGCCCCTACACCTGAAATCGCAATAATATATATACGAAAATCGACAATAAATTATACGACTTTGACGCACGAGTCGAAAGCTTTTGGGACTTCCCCGGATGCAGATTGCTGGCTGCAGCTTCCCATACACATGCAACGCGTAAATTTTCCAAATTGGCGCCATAAATTTCGCTCGAAACTTTTCGAAAGTCAAAGATAGAAACAGCCAGTGAAAGCGAAAGGAAAAGTGCGTGGGTGGGCTTTGGGTTCGAAAAATACTTGGCAGTATGTTGATAAAAAAGTCAGCCAAAGGTTGGCAATAACTTCTTCCACTTTGATGTAAATTGAATGAAACTTTTTAGCCTGTACTCACAGGGTAACAAGTGTATAATCTTATTGTAAAAGTGAAAAGAAAGGGATGGGAAGAATAAAGCGAGGAAATTACTTTAGTCAGTTGTTTTTAATCTAAAGAAGCGAATCGTGGGCTTAAAGCCCTAAATAAAGGCATTACATGCTAACAAAATTCATTAAACACCGGGGATATTTAAGTCGGTCCACTTTACATACTCCTTCTTGATGTATTGCCAATGCACAGCAGAGTGTGTGTAACTTGGTCTTAATTAACTAATGAATAGGGATCACACAGATACACAGAGAGAAATGGGAGCCATCAAGTGCTCTTCGACAGCCATCGAACCTCGAGTGGAAAGAGCAAAGCAGCGAGAGGTCGATGATTCCGGCATTTTCCTAATCAAGTTCAGCGTGTTTTGCCGGGCACAAAGTAAATGCAAAACTCTGGAAGCCTCTTTTAACGAGTCCTGCCAAGTCGTGCGCGTGTCTGTGTGACTTTCGCTCTGCCTCGGTGTGCGTGTGGGAAAGCGTGCCTGTGCGACAGTGTGTGTGCTTATCATCTTTTATGTTTATGCTTCGTGTACGTGCAATAAAGATAAAGCGATTGCATATAAAAAACTTTTTAATTGCCTGCACTAATGATGCACTGCAGCCAACTTGATTATAATAAAGTTACAAAAATTCCATTTCCCTTCGAGCACAGTGGGCAATGATTTAAAAGGGAGAGCGAAAAGTTTAATTAGGCACCAAGTTGGCTGTTTATTTTTCTTATATTTATTTTTCAAATGCATTCAGACCCATTTGCTTTTAGTTAATATTTTTACAAGAATGTTAAAACTTATGATTTAAATCGTCACCTTAAGTCTTAAGATACAAAAAATGTTGGAACCGATTATATATTCATTCCTTTAAATTAGTTTTAAAACTCTTTTTCTGTTGTACCCCTTGAATAGGTTTAAGTCAAATTTAAAGTCTTTCCTCCATTAACAGTAATTAAACAAAAATTGCCCTCTTTCTTTCCCATTTTTTGGACCACTGTAAGATGCTTCAACTCATTTGCCCGCAAAACATATAAAAACCAACAGCTGCCGTTTTGTGGACCAAGGCACTCGGAAAAGGACGAGGAATTCGGGGCAGTTAGCAGGCGAACAGAAGGGCGTGTCAGCCGGCGATGAAACAAATCAAAACAGCATAAAAAAGTGCAATAAAACAGGCGAATTACTTGGAAGTCCAAGGCACAGTGCCAGTGCAAAGAAAAAATGAAAACAAAATAATAAAGTGAAATTATTATGAAAAAAATTATCATTTAGGGCAGCGCTGCATAGGGGTATTAGGGATGTTTGGGGCAAGGACACGCGACAACTGGCGGGGCCTTCAAAAATTTGCTTAATCTTTCCGCGCCAAAACAAAGTCGCAAACTAAAAAGTTGTAAAAACAGACACGAACACAGCCCCTCTGTCCCATGCCACTGTAAAACCAAATTGTGCGCGAGAGTAAAAAATAAAAATGTAAAAGGGAGACACAAAGGGAAAGGGGAGGAGGGAAATCAAGTCGAGCACTTGATGGAGGATGGAGGAAAACTTGCGTAATGAGCCTGGGTGGGCGGGGAAAAGCGGATGGGGAGAACTCTCACACATAAAATGAGCCTCATCATGCAGAATTTCATTGACTCGGGAACGGGGGAAAAGCTGCTGGGACTGCAAGGAAACTTGAGCTGCCTTACACTAAAATTAACCGAGCAGGCTCTCAAGTCCCTCGGGCATTTTTAGTCGAAAGTGTTTTAATCAAACGCCTCTCTACACTTTCCTCGGCCGGAAGCGAGTTGCGTTCGCCGGAGTCTAAGTTTGTCTGCTGCTGTTATTGTTGCGTAGTTGCTTGTTTTTGTTTGTTCGCTTCCGTTATTGTTATGGCAACAATAACAAAAATAACAAGGAAAAACCAATGCGAAAATTCGCAGCTGAGCGCGGAAATTTTTGCGTCATATTAATTTTGAAGGGTAAAGTTTTTCAGCAGGAATTTGACTTTTATTTTTTAATCCTTTCTTTTGTGATTTGGAAAACTCAAAATTAAGCATGGATGAAATACTCTTCTTTCGAGCATTTGAACTTTAAAATGACAAATATTTCCGGAAAATGCAATAAATGCCATTTTTGACAAGCTTATAAAATTCGCTCCAGAAAGTCACAAATACCAACAAGATTGATTGATGATTGTAAAGTTGCAATCACGTTTTTCTTTAAGCCCTTTGTGTGAAATCTATCAATCTCTATCTTAAAAAGAATTGAATATTAAAATATATTTAAGACGAACTTCAAGCAACACCACACATATTTATTTAAGTTTTTATAGTGCTTTTCGGTTTTACACAATTAATTTTTCAAAAGAAATATTTATACTAACATTTTTTTTTTAGTAAAACCAGTTTAGAATATCGTCTAAAAACATTTATTTAGTATTTTAAAAATATTTTCAATATTTTAACAAGATCCTTAGCAAGAATAACCCATTCGGTTGACGTCAAAACTTGGGACAGATTTGTCTAAATCAAAACAAAGAATCAACCAATTTTAATTTTCCGCGAAACTTTTAATTTTTTCCTTTCTCAAGTCCTGCGTTAAAAAGTAAATATACTATTTTGATTGATTTAAATGTCTACGGTAGAAGTATTGTTTTTAAGATATCAAAGGGAATTCCGCATTTTCACGGACATCCCTTCAATAAAATAAAATAAACATTCGGTGTTCTTATTGTAGACGGGCTAAATCTAAATATATAGGAGCTCGAAAGAAAGTTATTACTGTGGCTGAATAATATACGAGACTTACAAATATAATATTAAGTGCGCCAATTTGCGAAATCTCCTCAATATGTATTTCTTTCAGTGTGCGCCCCTGCGGGCTGACTGATGTCCGGGGCGCGCCTCCGTTGTGTCCGTCTCGGGCTGACAACATTTCGACACTTTTCCTAATTATGATGGGCATGTTGCCGGCATGATGAGGCTAATACTGAGGCTGATGGTGATGATGATGGTGGAAATTGGCTTAACCCCAAGGCGCCCGGCCTCGGTTATGGAGCGCCGTAATCTCTCGCCTCCACCTCGAGTTAACTCGATGCCAGGAGGACTCTCGGCCGGACACTCTCATCAAAATGCCAGCCTAGTTTTCGCCCATAATGATGACAACACAGGCGCAGGAGGATGGGGCCGAAAAGCAGGCCGTAACTTTGTGTAATAATTGTTGTTAAGCGTTTAAGTCGGGCGTGCCACTTTGGCGGCTAACCAAGAGGCATCTCGTGGGAGAATAACCCGAGACTTGAGCAACTTATCGCCACCGCAAGGCTGTACGGCCAAAAAGCCAACAAAAGGGGGCTTTCGAGGGGCGGGGGCAGAACCTGCGGTTGAGTCGGGTCCGTTTTGGGCAGGCCCTTCTGAGTTACTTCACTTTTCGCTACAAGCATTCAATGATGCTCAACTGGGCAGCTGGATTTGATTAAACAAAAGTAAAAAGTTCTTAACTTTTTTTTGCTCTTCCACTTTTCGCTTACCCCAACCGCCCTTCTGCCCCGCTTGTTACCCTGATTGTTGTTATTTCCCGTTCAATTGGCTGAATCTCCTCAAGCGTTTCGTCAATCACTTTCATGGCCAAAAGAATTGAACAGCTTGCGAGAGGGGGCAAAGGGCGAAATAAAAAAGGGGTACGCCGGGGGGTGGATGCCAAAGTTGCGAGCTTTTAACACAATTTAAAGCATCCAGAGGCGCCCCGCCATAGTTCATGCTCTTTCCTCGCCTCTCCAGATATTTCCCCCATCACTCGGCCTTGCTGCAGTTTTTTCCAAACTTTTCTATTGAAAAAACAAAATTCTGATGGGGCAGGTGGGGGGGCACGCAGCGTTTGATCGAGTTTGGTTCATTGATGAAAATGTCGAGAGTCACTTTCGTTATGCTTTAGTTTTAACTTTTAGTTTAGCAATTTCTGCCTTTTCATGTTGCCATTTTGATTTTAATTACCTTTCTCTCTCTTGTTTCCCTCAGTCCATTTTCGGCTTTTATTTTCTGCACATTGTAGCTCAAGGGCTCACTCAAAGGGGTTTTTTAATTCCTTTTTCAAGGGAAAGGTACAAATCGTGGACAATTTGGGAAAACTATTAATTGATGGGAAAAGTTAACCGCTCAAGCGATATAACCGATTGCAATGTTGCTTTCAAGCCACCCTTTAAAAATCGTTTGCATCGTTTGTTTTCGCAAGCCTTAATTACTTTGGTATTATAATTTCAGTTAAAAGTTTGCAACGCTATGAATGAGCTGTATCCGACACTACAAAGTATATATATTCCTAAACAGCATCACCACGGGAGTCGATCTAGCCATGTTCGCATGCCGTCCGTCTGCCCGTTTGTACGCAAACTAATCTCTTAGTTGTAAACGTAGTTTCTACTAAGTCGAAACTTGGCAGATCGGTCGACTATATCATATTGTTCCCAGGCCAGAAAAGGAAATAATATTAAAGCTTCCTTGCTTCTTGACTTATACCAATAAGTTTGTTATATAGCAATTTTTAACGATTTCAGAAAAACAGTTTTGTAAAAATTCGATGACTAAATCATATAGCTTTCATAGAAAAAATCGCGAAATAAATAGGAAAGTAACACGGAATTCTACAGAACTTGGTTGTTTTTAAACGTGTGCAGAAATTCTCACAGGAATAGTTATAATTTACAATTAAATGCATACAATTTACGTTTTAAAAAAATCGGACGACTATATCATATAGCGGGAGATAATGCAAAATCGACATAGCTTCCTTTTTTTTCAACATATTCGCTACACTACATATATAGTAATTATATGAGGTTTCAGCCTTAGATTTTAAATTTTAAAAAAATCAGTCATCTGTTTGACATAATTGCCATAGATACATTTGTTATATGCAGCATCCCAGCTCATGCGCTTTCAATTCTTTCTCTTTTTGTTTAAAACTGAATTTCTTATTTTTATACCCTTGCAGAGGGAATTATATGTTAATAGCTTATAAAATCATGATTGAAAAATTTGTTGCCTGTCGATAAATTCGGCTTGCCGAACTTGGCTTATTTTCTTGTTAATTATGTTTTTATTAACTATTTACTTATTAACTTTACTGTTTTAGTTTTGTACAGTATTTATTGTCTTATATTTGTGTTTAAGTTTTAAGGTTTTAATGATTGATGAACTAAAAGTTTGGAAAAAACCAAATCTAAAATCTACGGCTTAGAAAACAAATTACAGCAGCGTAAGCTGCCATGCAAAAATACCAACATCATTTAAATTGACCCTGACAAACCAAGCAAAAAATTTCGAAGCAAAGCCCCATTCCCTTGCGCACCTTTCCCCTTACCTCAGACAGTCAGCGCTAAAATATGCACAAAGGCCAAGGATGTACGGTAGCAAATGCCTTAAATTCGCCCACAAAATGCTTTTAAGCCGCGCATATCAAATTGTTTTCCATGAAAACATGAGAAAAAGATTCGGGAAAGGGCGGAGGAATGGGGAGCAAGTCATTTAATATGCGACAAATGTATCGTGAGAAATAATTTCATATTTGACGCAGCTTACCCGGCAGGCAGATGAGCAGAGCCAGCAGGATCAGGCGCCTCGGCATCTTGGCGAGCTCCATTAAAGTGCCAAGCAAATTGATAATCCTTGCTCCGTGTCGAGTCGAGTCTGGGATTGGACGTGTATCGCGCGTTTCGGTCTCCCGATTCGGTTCCTTGGTTCGCGGTCCTTGGCCAGCTAAGTCCTTTGGCTTTAACTGGGTCACATTGGCTGTCTGCCGGCGCTGGGCCGCTGGAGCCTGTGTAAATTTATCCCTGCCTCGGCGGGGATTCCGCTGTTGTTGGCTGTTGCTCTTGTTAATATCGCGTATACGCCTTGACACGAACTGCTGCAATATCTTCTTCTCCTTCGCGTTGCTGGCGTTTCTTCGGCGCACAAAATCGCAGGGTTAACATATTTTCAAATTGCACTTGCACGGTAAGCTTGTCGGGCCAATCTAAAATAACTAAAAGCTGAAAATGTCGTATGGGAAGCTGAGCGGCAAGAACAACACGTGGCCAATTTTAAATATTCCCACAATGTGCCCGTCGAGCTGGGTCCTATTCTACGCTTGGGGTCTTGTATTCCTAAATTCTCTGGCTCTGGCCCGTGTCCCAGTTTATGGCCGGCGTTTTGCCCGCGTCCTGTTTTTGATATGTTTGTGTAAGTTTTCGCTTGGCTTGGGTAATGTGGGTGCTCTTGGCATTAGTTGCCCAACCAAGGTGTTCCCGTTTTACTCGCCCTTCTCAAAATCCGGCCCGAAAATCACGTTTTTGCTATACGAGTTTACATATTTCTGAACTATTAAAAAATGCCATTGTTAAAGTCAAAAAGAAAGAAATAGTTTGGTAATATTTTTTGAATATCGTTTTTAAATAATTCATTGAGAAGTCTATTAAGATAAGTTACTGTATCTTGTAGAAAATGGAAAAAGTGGGGAAAATAAAAATATGTTAATACTATTTTAAGATTCGTAATTCTTTCTTTTTAAAAACAATAACATGCCAAAATGCTCAAAAGCTTGCGAAATTCTCCTAAATATAAGCTCAAGCATTTTTGGCGAAATGCTGGCGAATAAGGTCCTTGGAACGCAAACATATGTTGTTGTGTAAGCTGGGGCATTCCATTTGGCCAACCTCTGTTGGCATCGCTGGCTCGGTTTCCCAGCTACTGCGGCTGCTTGTGTTACCTCATCTTTCTTTTACGCCCCAGACTATTCGGCATTAACGAAATTTATTTATGCGGGTGTTTAGTGGGGCGTAAAAGGAGTACATATGGCCATCCAGGCGGGCGGACACGCCCATCGGGCCAACTTACGGATGCAGGACACGCGCAGGATGAATTGAAAGGATTCTCGATGGCTAGCCTAGCTGTAGGTGTAGGTAGGTCGGGCTGGCCAGGTCTGGCTGCGAATAATGATTTAAATGCTGTTTTGTCTCTGCCAACAGATGGGCTTGAAGTCGGACCACAGTCGGAGTTTGAGAAATGCCAGGCATACATAAGTAATGGCAGTGGAGTAGGTGGCCCAATGAAGCGTTAACTCAAATGTTAAACAAATGTAATGTTCCGGACGACTGGGTCGTATGCCTCAAGGAGAAGAACGAGTTGGACCTTGGGCCAGAGCGTGGATAACACAAATAATATTAAATTGATTGCACAAACAAAACAGCAGCGGAAGTGTAAATGATTTAACACAATTCCCATTTCTATTCGCATTCCGCATCCTCGACTTTTGACTGCTGTCCGTCTTGGTCTTGCTTTTGGCCATCTGCTGCTCGAACACTCAGACATTTGGCCCCTGCTCGACGACGTGGAAAGCGGGAAATTCCTATGTCTTGTAATTTAGTTTATTTTGATTGCCATTCAATTCCGTAACTGTGTCATTAATTCGTTATTATTTTATATGATTATTTTAATACGATTATTGTGGCAGTTGAAGTTGTCGAAGCAATCGCTACAGCTTAGTTTAGGTCTGGGGTTATAAGTTCTTAAGTTTAATAAAAGTAGTTGTTTTTTATTAGCACTTTCGGAGTTATTAAACGTAATGTACTTTATTTTTAAATATGGTTATTCCAATGATAGTCAATTAAGGTCACGATCGCTAGGATTAGGTGAAACAAAAATTTAACAGAAAATAATAAGAATTAACTGATCTTTCTCCTCAAGCACCGAAAATTACTATTTTTATTATTATAATTTATTTATGTCATTTGGGCATAGTGAACAAAGCGATTTCATTTCTTGAATTATTAAAAGAGTATATTTCTTGTTTTTAGTTTCCATAGTGGTATTTCGTAATTTTCTTTGTTGTCTGGATTATTATAAAATATGTTCACTGAACTGTAATATTTTGATTGCGGCACTTGTCTGATCACCATTATATGTCAAAGATCCCTGCCAATATTAACCATTTATAATTCTCGGTGGAGGCTGTTTGAACTGCGTTCAGCGGCTGTGAAGCGAGATTCGAACCACGCTTGGCACCGGCTAAAAGTAAACTAAGCCAACTGGCGACACCTTAACAGGCCAAAGCAATCGGGCCCGAAGTTGGCCGAAGAGTTCGGCTCGGTGGCGTATACGCAATATGTGGTAACAGCGGAAGAGAACACGATGCTGGCAATGTAAGCGAGAGTTTACTGTTGCACAAATGCTTAAAATCGCGGACTGTTAACTTTGCCGAGTCTGTCAACGAAACAAATGCAATTACACGGGTAAACTGCTCCATTGTTATTGGGCATGTTTTATGCATTGAGCAGTTAGGCAAATTACTCATTTAGATTTTATGTAAATTTCAGTCTGGGAATGCATAAAACCAAAGTAAGACCGACATTATCATTTAAGCCATGTCAATTACAAGACAAAGGGTTGGCGGCAAAAAGAGGCAGCAATCATACCACCGTTTATAGCAGCTTAACAGTGCGATAACATAATTCCTCATTAACGTCGAACCAAAGGCGCCTGCACAATGCTCGAAAAAGTGCTGGCCAAAAAAATGGGGGCAAAAACAAAGCGGATGAAAAGGATACGAACGAAAGTGGGACAGCAGCAGCAGCCAGAGAAAACCGCATCTTGGGCGGATATGCCATGGCAAAGTGCAAAACACAGGGATAGCCGCGGATATTGCGGGCTGGCAGGGAGCAGTGCAAGCGGCTGGGAAAACAAAGGACCAAATTATAATGCAGACGAAATGGCCATAGATGTCGCCGCAGACTGCGAAGACATTCGCGACATTGAAGGGTGGAGTTCGCTTCAGGAGAGGGCCACAAAAAACGGAAGCTTTTGCATAAAATTCAATTTGTCGTGTGCAGCAGCCATGAATATGCCGAACTCCGGCTTTAAGCCGAACCTGATGATGACTCCCCAGCTCCCTAGCTCCCACCCCGCCCCCTGGCCGTAACATATGCGCGAAATTACTTACGTAGTGCTGTCACTGACAGTTTCGGATCTGGACCCACCACCACCGCGCCCCACCAGCCAACCCAATTCCCATCCAATCCCAGCCCTAGACCCCACAAAGGCTTGTAAAACAATGGCTGCATATATGCAGAAGACACATTCACTTTTTAATACGGCCCCACCCTCACATACAATTGCGAATATTTTTATTGTTTATGTAGTTAAATAATTGAACCACCCACGGCCACACACAATCATTGGCAAATTAAAACGGTTTTTACATACATTCCTTTGTTTTGCTTTATGCTGTTTTATTGAAAGACCCGAGGCTAATTGTTTTTTTTGTACAAATTGAAAATACCTAAAAGAATTACTCAAAAACATTTGTCAGTAATACAGACATGTTGAGAGTTAATTATAGGGCTGTTATATGGGCTTAGGCAGCTTTTTTGAACAAACCAATTCGTATCTAGTGGATTTTCACTTACTGTACTAAATTACAAAACGATTTTTATAGATATTTTTATAAATCTTTCACTTAAAAAATTAAGGTAAATATAAAATATATCTATTCCAAGCATTCGCCACTTTAACTGGTCAAAAATATAAATTTCACTAACCAGGCTAGGAAAACACACACCTTTAATTCTTCTTCCGCCTTCAATTCTGCGTCCTTCCAAGCTAAAAACAATCGAGCGAATTATCCCTGCCAGTTCGAATGAAGAACATTTTTCCGCTTAGCTCTGCAGTTCACTCAATAGAACTCAATCATGCAAGACCCTTGAAAATGAAATTCTCCTTGCCTTTTGCACACCTTTCACTTTTTTCTCACAAGTCATTAATCACAGTTGTTTAAGGGTGGGCGGAAAAATTAAAAAATTACTCAAAGAAGGAGATAAAAAGTGGGATGAGAATGCCTTCTTAAGTGGGCCGCTGGAATTAATGCGATTGAATAGGACAAACGTCTGCTTCGATAGCAAAGGATAATCAAGTTAAAATCGAAAACAGGTTTACTTGGCTTTCACAAAAACTGTATAAGATGCATATATTGAGAGAACGATTAACATGAAAAAAGGCAGTCATGTCGTTTGTCAAAGGTTGGATCTTAATTAAGCTTTGCAGTGCTAATGACAAAAGATAATGCTGATAATTGAGGAAGTAACTGAAGTATCTCTACTTAACAAAAGAAAAAATAAATTTGCAAAAAGGCAAATACATATTTAACGGTAGTATAAACGGTTTCCCAGTAAGAACTGCCTTCCCATTTAATATCTACCAAAAAACACTGCCTGAAATCTCTGCCCAGGAAAAGGCATGCCAGCCAGGAAAAACATAAATTTCTGGGCAAAATGTTCAGCAGCCACCAATTAATTCAAAATTTATAGCCAGTCAAGCACTAAGGCATCATTGTCCACAGCCCGGAGCATTCATCGTGTCTGGCTAATGTGAGGCCGAGGGCGGTGGATGTGGACTGGGAGGTGGGGATATAATTCCAATTTTACTGCCGAAAGGGGGTTGTCAGGGGGACTGCAACAAGGACCGCATTAGCCGCAATGGCCGTGTGTGACAGCTGGACGATGTCGCATATGAGGAGTGCATGCCGTGTCCTGACTGTGTCATTTATGCATTGCCGACTGATTGATTTGGCACACTCTGGAGCCCCTCAACTCGAGGGAGTCAAGTTAATGTCCAACCAATGTTCCTGCGGCCGACAGAATCTCCTACTTCAAGTGGTGATCACTGCACTTACAAAAATGTTCGGAACAAGTCAAGATTAAATTATGAACGAAATTAAAAACTCGCCTTTAATCTGAATCAAGGAGAAAAGGTCAATATTTTGTTCAGAAGAAATTACTTTATTAAATGAAAGCTATGGAATGTTATCCTCTTGACCAAGATATCACGATAAATCAAAAGTAAGTCAATACTCAGCAAACAAATTTATGTAAACTAAGATTTATAAGATTATATAAGCTCAAGATTATTTAAAACAAACTGTATTTACATTTTAATCGATCGGTCTATAATTTATTCCATTAAAATATATTTAAGGAATTACTAGAGTTTAAAATTAAATTTGAGATTTATTTTAAAACATCAAGCTTCTCAATGTTATATAACATTCTTTTGTTTTACAAGCCAATGACCAAATGGCATTGCAAAAAAATATATACATTTTAAAGTGTCAATTAATGTAAGAAAATAAGTAAAGAACAAGAAAGGAAAGCTAACTTCGGGCGGAGCCCAAGTTGAAATACCCTTGCAGAATATTCTGTAAATTATATTCTCCAAAATTATTCATATGATGCATTCTTAACACTCACAAAAATACCAACTTCCTAACTTAACAAGAAAGGAAAGCTAGCTTCGAGCGGAGCCGAAGTTGAAATACCCTTGCAGAATATTCTGTAAATTATATTCTCCAAAATTATTTATATGATGCATTCTTAACACTCATAAAAATCCCAACTTCCTAACTTTAAAAACACCAAAGTTATGGCATTTCCAATCGTTATGAAATTTGGTAGGCCGGATTAAGTGGCAAAATATAAAAGCCATAAAAAATCCCAACTTTCTATCTTTACAAACACCAAAGTTATGGCATTTCCGATCAATCAGTTATATGACAGCTATAGAATATATGATCCGATCCTTATGAAATTTGGTAGGTCGGATTGATTGGCCAAATATAAAACTCATAGAAAATCCCAACTTTCTAACTTTACAAACAACAAAGTTATGGCATTTCCGATCAGTCAGTTATATGGCAGCTATAGGATATAGTCGGCCGATTCCGGCCATTCCGACTTATATACTGCGTGCAAAAGAAAGAAGGGTGTGTGCAAAGTTTCAATTCGATATCTTTAAAACTGAGAGACTAGTTTGCGTAGAAACAGACAGACGGACATGCTTATATCAACTCAGTAGGTGATCCTGATCAAGAATATATATACTTTATAGGGTCGGAGATGTCTCCTTCACTGCGTTGCACACTTTTGACCAAAATTATAATACCCTCTGCAAGGGTATAAAAAGGAAGTATTTTTGCTATTAAGGTATATAACGATTCAATTTTGGTCAAACTCAAATCTTTGTTTGTTCATGACACATACCATTTAAATGGAAGTGAAGAGAAACCTCTCTAATCGTTTTGCAAGCAAGGATCATTTCAATTTTGCACAATTTGGTAGAGCATTTATAGGAGTAAACACGGTGGGAAAGAGCAGTAAATGAAGCCTTAGACACAGTTCAAATGACAGCGAAAATCTTTTTGCAAATCCCCCAGGCAACAATTACACATTTGGTTGTAACTCGGACCGAGTTGCTCTGTGCTGGCATTAATGCGGTTAGGCTGTGTAACCTTCATCTCAGTCGCAGGAGAGCAGCCGACTATCCCCCTGGTGCCCCCAAGTGCCAAAAAGTTTAAAAAAGGAAATTCGTTTTTTCAGTTTCGGATAGCTGTTATTTTGGTCCTGTGGCATGGCATCCTCTGCATGACAACTTCACTCTGTTGCTCCATTTGCAACATTTATGGGATTTCGTATGTTGTTGTCTGTGTATCAGTGTATCGGTATATAGTGTGTATCTGGATCTGTGTGCGAGAGGTCATTTTATTGTTTCCAGACAAAATGGTCAAATGGGAATTCGGCTTTTAGCTCTGCTTTTTTGCCGCTGTATGTGTGAGTAGCCGATAGATTTAGATTGAACTGTCGAACATGTTACTGGGGCCTATTCCACCGCCTTTTGCCCACACACAGTGGGGGAAACTTTGCGAGATAGGCCAACGAAACAAGCAGCTAGCCAAAACAATGCAAATGATTAGAATAATCGCCGTAGGTGTTTGACTTACCCGGACTTACTTCCCCATAAACACAAATTTCAGTTTGCCGCAATAAAAGTTTCCATTTTCCCCTTTCGAACGTTTTTATGACCCTCGATTGACTTTTGAACCAAGCTTCATCCATCCCCATCAAAGTAAATTTAAAAGGATGATTTTTAAATGGAGTCAAAGAAGGATAGGCATGTTCTTTGCCTTAGCCCCATTTAAATTATTCATTGATTAATTCTCAATTATCAGAGCTCGCCAGTGTTCGCAGTAGGAAAGCAGTTGAACACAATCCTTAATTCTTATTTATCGTTTTTTTTTTTTGCTGACGACAGCGGGAAATGTTAATTTACTTGCACCCTATATAAACGTAAGAGAATGCTAATTTCTCGCGCTGAAATTTTCGACACGCGTGCAAATTAGACTTTGCGGCTGGGGTGTTGAGACAGCCATGCTCATGTGTCCAAAAACTGTAACTGGCTCATTTGTTTGGGTTGCATAAGACATAAGACATTGCAGACAAAAATTTGCAAATATGACCCAAAAATAAATTTTCCAGTCTTGAATGCTAGTTTTAAGAGCTAAGCCAGATATGGTATGTTTTCTCAGGCTTTTGGCCAAAAAAGGAATTGTGTAAGTGTCTTTACCACAGCCTTATTGCTACATAGGTTAAAATGTTATATTTTATCTAAAATTTTAAACTTTTAGTTTCCACTGGACTTAAAAATTAAAAATATATTTTGTTCAAATTTTAAAATTAGTTAATGAACTTTTTATTAGTATCTTCTGATTATGAGTTTTATATTATTGCCTTATGTTTTAAGTACATATTTATGAATATGGCTTTTAGCCTAAGCTAATTGGATTTAGGAGGGCCCAGTATTTTCTCGATTTCGCATAGTCTGTCCATTACCTGCTGGTTCCTGGCCTTTTGATCCTTCAACTTCTCTCCGATGGCATCCAAGGTGGCAGCAATGGCCAACAGCGAAACGTCGGTGGTCTGAAGATCCCTAAGCAATGGCGTTATCTTTGCCACGGGAACGGAACTGGGATCCGGAGATGACCTATCGGGGATTTCGTCGGGCAGTACCTCTCCTGCCGGTTTTTCTTCAATTGTGGGTTGTATTTCAGTGGCAGAAACTGATTCTACTGGTTCTTCGGCTGCAATTGGTTCATCGGCCACCAGAGTGGCAGCTGGCGTTTCTGAGACTACTGGTTCGACAGCAGCTGGTGTTTCAAGGGGTTCCACAGCAGAGGCAGATGTCTCAGGAGTCGCCTCAACGACCGCAGCATCTTCTCCAGGAGCTATCAATACTTCTTCCGAAACTGTGACCATAGATTCCGGGGCAGTTGTAATTGGAGTCTCGATAACTTCTTCGTCCGGTTTCGTTGTCGTTTCCGGAATCTCAGCTACAGGAATCTCCTGCGCTACAGGAACTGCTGTCTCACTGACTTCTGTGATTTCCGGTTCAGCAGCTGAAACAGGAATCGACTCTACGGGTTCGACAACATTAACCGGTGGTTCAGTGATCGGCTCAACTGCCGCTACAACAGGTTCAGGATTGATTAGCTCCACTACCGCAACAACATCGGGTGTAACGACTTCGGCAGCAGGAGACGGAGAAGCTTCAATGATCGTGGCAATTTCTGGCTCCTGGATAGTTGTTGGAGCTTCGACTGCGACCGGATCCGGAATTTTCTCCGGGGTCGGAGCTGAAATTTCAGCCAATATTTCTTGAACGGGTGCTGAAACTTCTGCAGCTGGTTCCTGTATCGTAACCGGAGTCTCAATAGGTAAAGCCTCCACAGGAGTGGCTTCGATGGTTTGCGGTTGGGGTATTGGCTCTGGAACTATATCTGGAACAACGGCCAATTCCGGAGGAGCTGTTGATGAAGTGTCTGGGACGACCGCAGGTTGTTCTACAGGAATTACCACAGGGGGCAAGGAGACGATTGGAGCAGCTGTTGCTTCCCCTGGTTCAGGAATTGTTGCAGCAGGTGCCGCAGGAGGTAACAGGTCTGCAACTGCCACTGAAGTATCGGCAAATGCCACTGGCGGTGTAGACGCGGCAACAGCTCCCTCTGTTGCAGGTTCGACAGGTGGGGCAGGTTGCGGAGGAATCTCAACTGCGGCCTCTGTTGGAATCGAGGGAGAGGATATGGCAGCATCGGTAGGTTCCACAGCCACAGCCGCCGGTGGTGCAACGTTAACGGGAACAGTAGGAGGAGGTGGTGGTGTTAAGACTGTGGCAGCTTCTGCAACTGGAGTCTCTGCAACAGCAGCAACCACAGAAGCAACTACTGGTGTCTGTGTCTCCGCAACTGCAGGTGGTTGTGTTGCAGCAAGTTGTGGTTCTGCCACTGCAACAGAAATTTCGGTAACAACTGGGTCAACAACTGGAGCAATAGTTGGAGCAACAACTGGAGCAACGACTGGAGCAACGACTGGAGCGACGGCTGGAGCAACAATTTCCTCTGATACTGGTGTTGGTATTGCAGCAACAGGCGACTCTACCGGCGGTGCAGTGACAACTGGAGTCTCAGCAACAGCAGCGGATGCCGTAGCGATCACAGGAGCAACAACTTCCGGAGTTTCAGCAACGACTGAAACTGGTGGGGATGCTGCAGCTACAAGAGATGCCGCAGGTGGTGGAACTGCCGCTTCTACTATTGCAGCAACAGGGGTCTCGGCGACAACAGCGATTGGCGGTGAGACTACAGGAGCAGCGACTAAGATCTCCGCAACAGGGGCTTGTGTTGCAAGTACGGAAGATTCCGCAGGTGGTGCAACGGCAGCGGGAATCTCAGAAACAGCAGCTGTTGGGGTTACAACAGGAGCAACTGGTGCAACAGGTCCAACAGGAGGTGTAGGTGTAGCGATCACAGGAGCAACAGCAACCGGAGTACTGACAACGCTTGGAGTTTCTGTTACTGGTGTAGGGATTGGAGCAACGGGAGGCACCACAGGTGAAGCTACGACGGGCTGAATCTCAGCAGCAGCAACTGCTGGCGTTGATATTGCAGGGGCCACTGCGACCGGAATCTCAGGCGATGCGATCACAGGAGCAACAACGGGCGGCGCTACAGCAACGGCAGTCTCAGCAACAGGAGCAGGTGGTGTAGCAATCACAGGAGCAACAGCAGCTGTAGTGGCGGCAACAACTGGGGCTTCGGATACGGGTGGTGATGTTGCAACAGCGGGAGTGGCCACGATGGGGGCTGCAACAACGGGTGCCGGAGCTGCTGCAATGACAGGAGCCGGAGTTGCCGGAACAACGACTGGAACAGTAGCAATCGGAGCTGGAGCTGGAGCTGCGGCGATGGGAACAGTAACTGGGGCTGGTTGCACACTCGCAATGGGAGGCGCAGCGGCAATAGGTGCTGCCACAATCGGAGCTGCAGGTGTAGGAGCCACTGCTGCGGGGCTAGCAACAGGCACCGGAGCAGGTACTGCTGTTGGAGCCACAGCCGGTGGCACAGGCGAAGCCACTGGGGCAGAAACAGGTACTGGTTCCATTGTTATCGGTTTTTTTACTTCCTCCTCAATGTCAATCAGTTTTGCCTTTTTGTTGAGCTTTTCACTTATCCAGTGCTCAATGGAGGAATAGTTTCATGACCCTATTTTCATGGCCAGTAGATTGCTGAAAACAGAGCAACGAAAACGTAAATAACATAGAACATAAAAACATGAGACTAGGGCCTTGAATTAGGCCATTGCCTTTAATAGGAAAAGCAATCGATGAGGGAACAGGTAAGTAAAAATAAGAAGAGGTGCTTACAACTAGACGCAAACAAAATAATTTCTCTTTCTGCTTTAAGCTTCCAAAGATATCGATTCATTTGAATTTTCTATGAATTTTCTATGAGGCCGCTCAAGCGGCCCCGATTAAATGTAGTTTCAATTTTTGTTATCACAATCCGGCAAAAAATTGTTATAGAAATGAAAATGTAGGTTCATTAATTCTTAACCATTGAGTGTAACAAACCTTTTAATTACTTATCAACTTAATTCATGAATTCTTAACCATCGACAAACCTTTTAATTACTTATTAACTTAATTCGAAACTTAAGTTATTAAAATGACAACACGGAACAAGATGTAATATTACATTATATTATTTAATATTGTCATTTATTTAGTGCTCATGAGTAAAATTTCCTTTAAAACTTATTAAAAAACTTATTATTATTATAAAGTAGATATATTCTTGATCAGCATCACCAGGAGAGTCGATCTAGCCATGTCCGTCCGTCCGTCCGTCCGTCCGTCCGTCCGTTTTTACGCAAACTAGTCCCTCAAAGTTGTCGTTTTATTGCAGGTAGTATATAAGTCGGAACGAGCCGGATCGAGCGACTATATCATATAGCTGCCATATAACTGATTGATCGGAAATGCCATAGCTTTGGTGTTTGTAATGTTAGGAAGTTGCGATTTTATATGGGCTTTATTTTTGGCCAATCAATCCGACCTATTAAATTTCATAAGGATCGGCCCACTATATTCTATAAGTGAACGATTGAAAATGCCATAACTTTGGTGCTTCTAACTCTAAGGAAATTGGGATTTTTTTGTTTTTATTTTTGGCCAACTAATATAATTTACAGCATATTCTGCAAGGGTATATCAACTTCGGCTCCGAAGTTAGCTTTCCTTTCTTGTTCTTGATCAAGTGTTGCGATCATAAGTCCTCGATTGTAACTTTCCATCCTTTTGCACCTTTTCAATAATACTAACCGAATAGCTTATTATTTTTTCACACTGACCGACTACTCGATAGGAAAACCCGGGGCTAACTGGCCATTTGGATCAGTTTTCTTGTACATTTTTACCTCTTTTCATTGGTTTACCCTCGTTCAGAAGTCTGACAACTGCCCATTGAGTACAAGAACCATACGCATACATAGTTTCAAGTGCTTTTGCGTTTTTTCGTTTACATTCTAAGGTGCTTAGCAGCTGACCTTAGCCAGTATTAAATTTTTCCGGTTCGCACGGGAAAACAAAGTTACATTTGGGGTACGCTGAAAAGTGTGCTACAAGCGTTCGAAGATTTCTTCGTGCGATATTTCCCCACTATTGTATTATTGATTCCACTCGCATCTTACCGAATGCATTAAATTCATCTGGGAATCCCTTTTAGGGATTTATTTTTGCTTCATTGCATATCGCTTACCACTCGCTTTGTCAGCTGCACTCGCAAGCACATAACTGGTTATTTACACAATACTGATTACTCTGGCGTATTTGCAATGTAGTTGTCAACGAAATGCGACAAGTGCCCCCCTCCCCCTCTTCACCTCCCCCTCCTCGTCCACTTCCTGCCAGCGCCGGTTCGCCATTCAATGTCTGATGCAATGACAGTTGACAAACTGCCACTACGTAGCCGTTGGATCGGAACACATTAGCTCGGTGGAAATGTAATCGCAAAGAACTAAGAAATAAATCTTTCAATTTTTCGAGCGAGTGCCGGGGGCTGGAGGGGGGATGTGGGAAGTGCAGCCAAATGTAAAGCAATCCGCAGAGGCAGCCGGCAGTTGCACATGCCGTCCGCTGGAGCAAGTGTAATGTGATCTGCGTACAATTTGCAGCCGTCGTTTAAAAAAGTCCGACCAACACCTCGCCGCACCCCGCAAACGCTTCTGGCCGGGTACCGAGCACACTTGAGACTCTTGCAAATAGTTTTTCCACATATGAACAGAAAGAATTTCACTCACAAAATAAAAAGATTGCGAGCGAAAAGAAAAGAAATACATATATATAAATAGACGAGATGGGAAAACGCTTATATGGAAATGATTTCACTGGAGAAGTGGAAGAACGAACGGAGTAGTTGTGGAGATTGAATTGGCAGTTCAATTTCACGTATTATTGACATTTAAGCGTAAGCATTTGAATATAAACTGAACCCGGCTCAGGGATTGAATGGTTGGAAGGCCAAGAGCAGGAGCGAGTCCTTCCTCAGGATGCACAGACATTGGCTGCCTATTATTTTCTGTGCGATAAATCAATCGTATGAAGCAAAATGCAGAGAAAATACCAAGATAAGTGGAAATGAAATTACATCAAGCATACAAATTGTATTTATACTTTATTCTATCTTCTCCTGCATCACTGCGCTCGACAATTGATCGGAGCAGACCGGGCGAAAAGGAGTTTGCGTAGCAGAATAAAAGTGTATATTTTAGATTGTGGTGCATTATCAATCTAAATGGCAATTTAATCTCTGTATAATTATCCAGTGATCTATATATCTCTTAAGTACGAACAAAACTAGAGTGTGGAAAAAGTTGGAAGTCATTTTGTACAATATTAGGAATAATACCACCTCGACACGACAGATTGTTATACCCTTGCAGAGGGTATTATAATTTTGGTCAAAAGTGTGCAACGCAGTGAAGGAGACATCTCCGACCCTATAAAGTATATATGTTCTTGATCAGGATCACCTCCTGAGTTGATATAGCCATGTCCGTCTGTCCGTCTGTCCGTCTGTCTGTCCGTCTGTCTGTCCGTCTGTCTGTCCGTCTGTCTGTCCGTCTGTCTGTTTCTACGCGAACTAGTCTCTCAGTTTTGAAGATATCGAATTGAAACTTTGCACACACCCTTCTTTCCTTTGCACGCAGTATATAAGTCGGAACGGCCGGGTTCGGCCGACTATATCCTATAGCTGCCATATAACTGATTGATCGGAAATGCCATAACTCTGCTGTTTGTTAAGTTAGGAAGTTGGGACTCTCTATGGGTATTATATTTGGCCAATCAATCCGACGTACCAAACTTCATAAGGATCGGCCGAGTATATCCTATAGCTGCTATATGACTGATTGATCGGAAATGCCATAACTTTGGTGTTTGTTAAGTTAGGAAGTTGGGATTTTCTATGGGTTATATATTTGGCCAATTAATCCGACATATCAAATTTCATAAGGATCGGCCGACTATATTCTATAGCTGCCATATACATAACTGAACGATTGGAAATGCCATAACTTTGGTGTTTTTAAAGTTAGGAAGTTGGGATTTTTTATGAGTATTAAGAATGCATCATATGAATAATTTAAGAATGCATCATATGAATAATTTTGGAGAATATAATTTGCAGAATATTCTGCAAGGGTATTTCAACTTCGGCTCCGCCCGAAGTTAGCTTTCCTTTCTTGTTTTTTCTTTAATCTTTTTTTTATATAATCCTTTTGAAACATGACTAAAACTAATGAGGATTTTGAGCTTAATGCAAACCTTAATCAATAGTATGGAAAATCAGCCAAGGCTTTCATAAAACGTCTAAACATTTAAGAAGTTGTAGGAAAATATTTATTTAATAAGAAATGCATGATTATCTTATGTTTTTAAATTCATTTTGAATTCATATTTTTAAATACCTTAATCCAATCGAAATCGGGCGAAACAACCGTTTGAATTTTGTTTAACAAAACAATAAATTTTCGTCCGAATTCCGCATCCGCAGGCCAAATATGCATAGTTTAAATTGAACTGCTTAGGAAAATATAAGCTTTTAGAACTATTGACATCCCATTTCCGCCACTTTTCACAGGTGAGAGGATCGACTGCAAAAAACGCAAATCAGTGCAACACATAAGCCTAATTGCCGTCATTTTGCACGCACTCCGGGCGTGCTGAAAGTTGAGTCCGAATGCGATTGGAAAACCCAAATACAAATATGAATACAAATGCGGGGCGAGAATCGAAATTGCGAAATGTGGCAAGGGGAAAGTGGCAGGCGGCAGCGCAGCTCAAGCTTCAATCCGGGCCCGCTTCCGGGTGTATTTTGCTAAATTGCAAATATTTCTCAATTCGCATGCATCAGCACAGAATGCAATGCAAACAATTTTCACCCAGCGGCCACAATAAAAAGGGAAACCCCCGGCGAGCACAAAAAAAGAAAACCCAAAAACACCCACACGCAGGAGGGCACAGAAAGTGCTGGCTAGGCGAAAAAAATTCGCAAAAATCGGCGCCGTATGGCAACCCTGGTCGCTGTGTGGCTGCTGCAACTATGGCGCAATTTATTTCCAGTTTGATTGGTTTTTTCGTGCTTAATTGCACTTGGCTCGGGAAAGGGGCGTGGCGGGGGCGGTTCTGACCATCCAATTGGGATCGGTGCGGGTGCGGGTGGTGGTGGTTTGCTGCCCCAATTGGTTGAAAGGTCGCGCTCATCACGTGCTTTAATAATTTATTCAAATTAACACGCGTCAGCCCGCCTTTCCGCTGTCCTGCGTTAGTGGCGCTCACTCCGTTTATGCGAAGTCCTTGTTGCGAAATCAGTTTTCAAAGGGCCTTTTTATGATGCCCAATTTTAAGTTTTAAAACTTCACACCTTTTTAAAAAATTAAAGGCTGCGGAAAATAGTTATTCGACCCACACGATTCTTAAACTAAATTCTGTAAGAAATATGTTTATTTTCTAATTTGTATTATCCTTTCGAATTTGTACATCCCGCACTTTCTAATTTAAGGATGCATTGATTTTATATTAGTCGCTATTCTTGAAGATTGTAGCACAAACATGTCATGAGTCAGTGACTGGGTCAGACTGCGCTCGGTTAATGGCCAACACTTTGTGGTCAGAGCAAACCGGAAAAACTGGCAGGCAAATGCAAAATATTGCACACAAGCACCCACTTACGGGTCGCCCCTTACACTTTTCACTCCATTTTCACCCCGCTCCCGGGAAAGTGTGAGTGTGTAAATTACAGCTACATATTTAATGCATTTTTATTTACATTTACATGGCAGCGCAAACACAGGGCAGTTGAGCGGGGAAATATTCTGGCCTGACACGAACTTTTGACACTTGACAATTTGATTGTTTTTAAGGCAAAGTGTTAAATTATGCAAAGCACATAACAAACACAAATCGAAAAGCACGCACGTTCACTGTATCAACAGCAACGGAAAGAAAAATAATGAATTTTAAATACAAAGCTGAACAACAATTTGCATCAATTAAATTTTGAGGAATACTTAAATAACTTGAATGATTTTTCAAGATTTCCGTCAAGTGGTCAACAACGCTTGACACTTGATGCATCTAGTTTTAAGCGTTCAATTTGGTTATTTAAATTGTTGTTTCTATCGAATGAAAATAAAGTACACGAAGTCACAAGTTAAGCACAGGCACTTATAATGGCTTAGTAATGTCGCTTCCAATATAATTTCCAATGGCCAAATACTCATTTTAATTGAACTTATATCATTTATTACTAGCTATTTAATAGACTAGAGTATTATTTACAAAACCAATTTTTTCTCAATGCTTAACCATTCTGTTTAATTGTAGTATATGAATTCGGACTTTATGATGCGTAATCTTTCAACGAATCTAACTCATTCAAAATTCTGGTGTGCTAAGAGTGAAGGAACTTGACTAAATAAAACTCCGATTATATATTACAGGTATTAACACCCAAAGAGTAACTACTTTTTTACGTTAATATTTAAGCTTCACTGTGCATTTATTTAAAAACCCAAAATAAACACCTCAATAAAATCCCCCACATCCGTAATTTAAGCTGGCTTGCAGATTTTTTTACAGATATTTTTCGCTGAGGGAAACCCTGGCAAACAGTTTAAAAAATTCAAATGAATTACTCATTAAATGAACAATATTTACTACGTAATTGCAACTAATGTAGCAAGTTAAATGGCAGTAAACTAATTACGATGCCAGGGTCTGGTTCAACATAATTTTCATTGCATTTTTTCAGCCATTTCCAAGACTCCTTTTCTGCTCCTTCCAGGTTTTCCGCGGCGACTCCTTGCTGGCTGCTTTCTTGTGGTAAATTAACTTGAATGCCGCAATGTATTTACCGGTACTCCAGGCAAGGGGAAAAAAGCAAAGAATATGGCGAAGGGAAAACAATGAAACGGCTCCAAATGGAAAGGGTTAAAGAGCAAACAAATCCGACAAGCCGAAGGAAATGCTGCAGGAAAGGTAGGAAAATGCGCGTGAGGGACGCTGAAAGGTGGGGCAGGAGTCGCGTAACTTTTATCATTAGTCCGCTGGGAAATTTAACGGGCACTTAAGTTTTTCTCACTCGTTTTCAACTTATTTTTTCCTGAACTATTGTTTAGCCATAGCTCGCCATCCCCCCTCCACCCGTTTCCTTTCCCCATTTCCCCACATCCCAGCTGTCACCTTTCATTTGGCTCCTGCTCAGCTCGGTTGAAAATTTATATTATGTTCACTTCGAATGCGGCACTAAGGTTAGCAGCATCATTTATAAGGAACTTTTATTTTGTTAAGCTCCTCTCTCCGCTTTGGTTTTTGCGGATATTGTTGCAATTTATTTTATTGCATTTTGTCTACAGTTTGTGGATTTAATTTGGCCCCCAGCACTGCGAACTACAATCTCGACTTCACCCGAGCTTAACAAGCTGCCAAGTTTTTAATGCCAGGCCTAAGCGGAAACTTTTTCGATTTTCTACGGAGTCCCTACTATATATTCTTTCTATTTTTTATGATTTTATGGGTTGATTTTGGGCAAGGGACTTGGCTGGATATTGCGCCATTAGTACAGGTCACTTTACTCGGCCAATTTTCACGGCCTAAAAGGAGGTTGTCAAAATTACAGGATACTTTGAATGCGGTTGCAGATAAGGTGACATCGGCTGGGCTACGTGCTGCAGGTTCATGTCCGAAAGATATCACAATAATACGATGATACAAGAGCAGGCCCATTCTTCAGATGTGGACACGTATTCACACAGCATGTGCCCAGAACGAGGATAAGGCAGAAGTTCTTGTCCTGTCTCTGGTTTTGGATATTTTCAAGATGTGAGCACATGAACGCTTAAAGAAATGTCAATTACATTTGTCGATGTGGACATTCCTGGTGTTGTTGCCATTGTTGCTGCTGAAATTTGAAATATCATTGTGGAGCAGGGTTCTAGCCCGGTTTCCATTCAGCGCCGAGTGACATTTGGTGAGCTGGCGAGGCAGCAACTCAGCCCGGCTGTGGGCACTCAGGACATGTCGTCCTCGAACAAGAAATTATCCCCTCAGATAACCCTATTCGCATTCACCCTTTCCATTCGGGGGGGGGCTTGACAAAAGTTCAGACAATTTTAGCAGCACGCACATACACAATTTATGAACTTTTCACTCAGCCGGGCTGGCAACATGTTTCTTGTCCAACTCCACTCTCCGTTTGAGGTTTTAATTTAACAGAAATGCTCGTTTGACCGACCAACAAATGTGCACAGCAAACGGCTCCATTGCAGCATTTCCGCATTGTTCACATCATAATTTGAATTGTTTCACAAGCCTTTGTCTTAGGGAGTATGTACTTTGACTTGGTATCCAACTCTGCGGTTAGTTAGGCAACAATATTTTCGCAAAACAATGTTCTTCCACTTGATTGGCTAACAAATACTTTTAGCTTTTTTTTAATGCTGTTTATGATTTTGATTGGTCTTGAAATATGCTTCGATGCAATGCCAGATTCTGCAAGAAACGTACAAAAATATTTAAAATATTTCAAGTTTATTAAATTGGTATTGGATTTCCCAGCTGACCCTGAATTTCCCATTTTTAAGGGTGCACAGAAGCATTTTCCACGCCCCACTGAAAGCTCACCTGCTGCACTTCCGTTTCGACTCCTGCGTTTTCTATTCAAAATCAATTTGGTTTTTATTGAATGCATTGATGTGCACTCTTTTTATTTACCATTTATATTTGCTTTCTTCCACAGATTGTTTCGCTTCACTGGCATTTACATACGCAATCAGCCAATTATTATGGCTCGCTCTTCACGGAAAGCAAATAATTAATTTGTCATAAAATATAAAGAGTACTTTACATGTATTTATTTGAATTTTATATATTTTGTATTTATTATGGAGATTCTGTGGAAAATACATTTTAAGTTTATGACGTTTATGAACCATTGCAGCTATGAAATTTGATCCGGTTAGGTTGCTAACAATTGATTCAAAGTATTGTAGGGGGATTTTCATTCCGAGAAACAATAATATTTTGCAGGGACTAGCGAATGATTTGTCAGTGTTAAGGTAATGCAGCATATGGTAATCGAATTTTCTTATCGGTAGACTATTTAGGCCCTAAATTTCTCTCTCTTTTGGGAGGTCTCCCCCACTGACACTCATAAATAGAAGCCACAAATGGACCAGAATGTTCAGGGCCCGCCCAATCAAGGCGAAGGAGGGTTGGGAGCAAATGACTGTCGAGAATATGTGGTAAACGAGGTCCCCATTCAGGCTAAATTCTATGGGAATTCTATGGCACTTCCTCCAATTCCATTCAATCTCGATTCAAAGCCAGCTGTGAACTGCGAAAAGGCGAAAAGAGCGAATCGGACTGGCCCTGCTTCGCCTTTGACTTGGCCAAAAGCGTGTGAGTGGAGTGGGTCACATAATAAGCTCTATTTCCGCTCCTCCACGCCGAATTGCCAGCACTTACACACACCTTAGCACCGCATTGAGAGGCGGCCGAAGCAGGTGCAAATAAAACGCTAAATTTGTGTACTTTTCGGCGGCTGCGGTGCCCTGCCTGAAAACGCTTGCCTCGAAAGGAATTGAAAAACATTTACCACAAAACCATTCACGTACGTGGGGCAGAACCGGTCCGCAGGACGGGATGGGTGATGTAAAATGCCGGAAGGAGCAAGAAAGCTGAAAGCCGAAAGCTGCGAAAGCGCCGGGAGTTGGGCAAAAACTAATGCTGGAAAAGCGTTTGCTTTTGCCCAAGAGCTCGAAAAACGTTGAGTATACCTGAACTCAACGGAACAGAATGGAAGCAGGGCACCTAAGTGCCAAGCATATGTCTTCCAACAAAGCAGATAGACACATTCACACGTGAGTGTCGCTCCTTTTTTCCGTTCGCACAAGTTTTTAGTTGGGTTTTTCCACCTGCTTGGCATCGGAATTTTCCTGCAGTGCTAATGTCTTGCCAGTGTCCAGCTCTACATGTAATCCCCTTCGCTGCTCGCCCCTGACCTCCCCACATCTTTCCCTTTTTTATTTGATTATTTAAGGGAATTTTTACTTTTTAGTCATTGGGAGAAAACTTTGTTGACTTTGTTAGTTTTGCTCAACTAAGTAGATCAATAATGTGCTGGCATGGTTTTTGGCTATTTTCGCTCACAGGTTTTACTGTCTTTTTACGATATTTTTTAACTGAAGATTGTAAAAAACGGTTTATTAGGTACTTTTTGTAATGGTCTGTAAATATGTTGGTAAAAATATTCTTACAAAATTTCGAATAGCTACTTTTCATATGGATAATCGTGTTTAAAGTTCAAAATTATAAAAATTGTATCAGTTTTAAGCTAAGGATGTTATATTTTTGAAAAACAATCTTCCAAACGTTAAAAATAATAATAGTTGCAAGCTTATTTTACTGCTGAAATTGTCCATAAAGAGATTATGGTTTTCAAAGTGGTAAACATCCGGACACATTTTGCGGGCAGCCAAGAAGCGGGTAACCAAGCAACGGGGACGATGACAATCCTTGACCATTTACTACCGTAGTTAGAAAGTGAGTGAGCCGTTCCACCGGTATTTACACTTGTTTCGCGCCACGAAAGATTCGCCACGTGCCACATTCCACGTAGCACGAAGCACGGAGCGTTGGCTGGAAGAGATTTCCTTCCTGTCGACGGAACCTTTTTAGCATGTCCACGGGCGAAATAAACGAGCCAAGAAAGAGTTCAACCCAATTGAGTCGGGGGAAGTACGCCGGAACTGCATTCTGGAGTCGGAGTCCGGTTGAGCTCGGGGATTGCAAAGTTCTTCCGCTTTCGAGGGTTAATTGATTCGCGAGCGACGCACGTACGATGCGGTAATGCGATGGGTTTTTACGCGCTGCCCTGATTTATTCAATTATAATGAGGGTCTTGACATGCCCTGACTTTCGGCACGCGTGAATAATGCAATTCGAATTACGAATTGAAGTACGTAATCTCGTAAGGAGGAGAGCAGGCGCCAAGTGTCATCCCTGGCCATCCCGGCTCCCATTACAGGACCTCCACCCAAGACAATCACATAAACACGCATTTCCCCCGAAGTGGGACAAATTAAATTAGACCAAAGCAGCTTTCATGTCTAGGACATGCCGCTGGCTAGAGAGCGAGCGAGGCAGGACTACGTTCTGGCCGGGACAAATCGTAATTCAAATAAAACAATGTAATTTACCACAGGAAGCCGAGAACGTGGCCTAATAGGCAAATGCCCCCTGCTGGTGGCACACAAGGAAATGTTCGACAACAAAGGAAGCTCGCCGTATATACACGTTCCAAAAACGGTTACTACTGCTCCCAAATTTATCTGCGGAATCGGACTAAAGTTGTGGAGCCACAAAATAGAATACAAGCAAATGCTTGAAAAAACTAACAGAATCGTTGGATTTCGTAGAGAACCTCGGGTAATTATCCGTATATGAAAATATTTCCGCTGTAAACAGCTTAGCATTATTGTAATCCATGCTGTGACCGAAGAATGGGCCCCCGAATTGAGTACACAGAAGATAATTCGAGATTATCGCCAAAAAAACCGCAGGAGCAAACGGAAAACTTTGTGGCACGACAAACCGAAAGCAAGATATCATTTCGTGGCTCGTACTTGTTCATAAAAGTACTCACCCCACGCAGCACACTCATATACAGATGCTCATACAATTTATGGGAAAACAGATGTATTTGGCTTTATTTATTTTCAGTCTGGGCGAGGGGGGTCGCCGCATTGGTCTCCGCTTGTTGTCTTTTGTGCCACCGCATCACAAAAATAATCTCAAAGGACCCCTCACACACAAGCACACACACACATTTTTGGAGGACAAAGGCAGAAATCATATCAGGCAACAACGTAAA